ATCATGAACAGTTTCTCAGAATCACCTCTAAGTGTCGCCAACAGAACCAGAACCACAGAAACGTGACACCAGCCCTGGAGTTGGCGTGGGGCTGCGCACATTTCCACGTTCATTTGAGTTTTGATACATCTGGAGTTTTGCGTGAAAATGGCGTACGCAAGGTTTTTGTGCGTACGCACTGTTGATACATGAGGCCCCTGGTCTTCATGATGAAATGTATGAAATGAAAAGCCAAATGTAAACAGTTCATGTGCAGCAGTCTGCTTCTGTGTTCTGTCATCCTTTAACTGCATGTAGTGGAGCTTCAAACACTATTTCTCTGAACAAAGGTAAATTTATCTTTAAAAACAATATTTACTTGGTTAATGTGAGTTTAGCTCCTGAAGCTCAGCAGATAGTAGCTACGTTTACATGGACAAATGTAATCGGATTAAATAGTCGTTCGTAATAAAAATGCGTCATGTAAACAGCCCGTTCGGATTATTCTGATCCGATTGAGCTCAATCCAAATGAATTTTTAATCCRAATGAAAAGGGTGGGTTATGCCGATTGATAATCAGAATGAGGTTCATGTAAACACTTAATCTGATCATCTTATTCTGATTGTAGAAAACTGACCTGTGTGTGCATGTCTGCTGACTTTATCCACATGGTTCTGCTCTTTAGAGGAGGCGGGACAGCAGAGCTCCAGCTGCGCTGCACTGCGTAGAACTTTTCCTCCACGCTCTCTTAACAGATAAAAAAGGAGACAAGCGGCAGACGTTGCTTCGCAAAAAATAAAAATAAAAAGCACGTATTGCTTCATCTGCAGCTCAACCGAGGAGTAACGATGTCTCCACTGTTATTAAAAGCTGACACGGGTCCGTCCTGAGGCACAGAGGAGCGTTGTTTACAGTTGTAACATGGAAGTAGAGCTGAAAGTTTACAACACTGCGCATGTCTGGACTTTTATTCTGAATCAAAGTCCTGTGCATGTAAACACTTTTTATGATCGGATTGTGTTCATGTAAACAGTACATTTGGATTATTTAATCTGAATACATTTCAATCCAATCAAAACATTTTGTGCATGTAAACATAGCTAGTGTTACACATCAGGGCTAGAAGATGTCCTCTTCATCTGCACATAGTTGTGGTCTGTGAGGGAAAACAATGTTTTTAATAAAGTTCCTGCAGGAGAGCTGTGAGCCTGAACATCAACAGAAGTCCACCTGCATCCTTTCTCACATATGTCTGGAGCACAAGTGTGTTCAGTGTGGGAAGTTTACATTTCACTGCATTCTGAACAAGAATGTCTGTGTCTCTTTCCTGTCCCTCAACCAGCCGGTCGAGGCAGATGGTCTCCTGTCCTGAGCCTGGTTCTGCTGGAGGTTTCTTCCTGATTAGCAGGGAGTTTCTCCTCCCCACCGTTTGCTCAGGATGGGAGACTGTGATGAAGTGATTCAACACAATCTGCTGGTTTCTTCTTTAGATTGTTCTTTTTATGTACAGTGCCCTGAGACAACGTATGTTGTGACTTGGAGCTATATAAATAAAATGAACTGAATTGAAAAGCAGCTTGTAACTGGTACCATCTTTAAGATCCTCAGTCAGGTGTTTGCTGAGTCCGGCACAGGAAGGTTCTCTTCTCCAGACATGAGCACAAATCATTATAGCTCCTCCCCTCTGGACATCATGCAGCAGCAGGTTCCACCTCATCCAGAAACAAACACTGCTGACTGGGATTTGACTGGTTTTATTGACAGTTTGAACCATTCCAGAGGAACTGTTTGCACACAGCATGTTTGCTGGTGCAGGATGCAGAGAAATGTCAGCAGTTTTCTGTGCAGTGAAGCTTCAGAGCTCTTCTTTTCCTGTCATAATCTGAGCCATCAGTAGCCACTGATACCAGGTGTGGGGTGTATTTCTGTGGCTCTTAAATAATCCAACATGTCCTCCCTCATCTGGCGGTGTCAGCTCAGTCAGTTCTTCCTGTGGCCCAGCACACTTCACATCAGCTGAATCACTGTTGTCATGTTTATGGTTCAGTCTTTGACAGTCTGCAGAGAGCTAAACTTTAGTGTTCTGCACAGTTTCACTCTTCTTTTTAAAGTCTGTGAACAGATCTTCTGAAATCTGAATGATTATTTTCAACAGTCTAACTGTGAGTGGCCCGACTATTTTCTGAGCCCACAGAACAACACATGTACAGCGGGTAAAATAAGTATTGAACACGTCACCATTTTTCTCAGTAAATATATTACTAGAGGTGCTAATGACATGAAATTTTCACCAGATGTCGGTAACAACCCAAGTGATCCATACATACAAAGAAATCAAACCATAAATGTCCAGAAATGAAGTTATGTGTAATAATGTGGAATGGCACAGGGAAAAAGTATTGAATACACTTACTGAAATTTATCTAATACTTTGTACAAAAGCCTTTSTTGTCAATGACAGCTTCAAGACGCCTCCTGTATGGAGAAACTAGTGGCATGCATTGCTCAGGTGTGATTTTGGCCCATTCTTCCACACAAACAGTCTTTCGTGGACCTCTTCTATGAACTCTGATCTTTAGTTCTTTCCATAGATTTTCTGTTGGATTCAGGTCAGGTGATTGGCTGGGCCATTCCAGCAGCTTTAGTTTCTTTCTCTGAAACCAACTGAGAGTTTCCTTGGCTTTGTGTTTGGGCTCATTGTCTTGCTGAAATGTCCAGCCACGTTTCATCTTCATCATCCTGGTAGATGGAAGCAGATTTTTATCAAGAATGTCTCTGTACATTTTTCCATTCATCCTTCCTTCAATTATTTGAAGTTTGCCAGTACCATATGCTGAAAAACAGCCCCACACCATGATGTTCCCACCTCCAAACTTCACTGTTGGTATGGTGTTTTTGGGCTGATGTGCAGTGCCATTTGACCTCCAAACATGATGTGTATTCTGGCATCCAAACAGTTCAATGTTGGTCTCATCTGACCAGACTATATTCTCCCAGTATTACACAGGCTTGTTTAAATGTTGTGCAGCAAACTTTAAAGGAGCTTCAACATGCTGTTTCTTCAGCAGTGGAGTCTTGCGTGGTGAGCGTGCATACAGGCCATGGTGGTTCAGTGCATTACTTATTGTTTTCTTTGAAACAATCGTACCTGCTAATTCCAGGTCTTTCTGAAGCTCTCCACAAGTGGTCCTTGGCTCTTGGACAACTCTTCTGATAATTCTTTTCACTCCTCTGTCAGAAATCTTGTGAGGAGCACCTGGTCGTGGTCAGTTTATGGTGAAATAATGTTCTTTCCACTTCTGAATTATGGCCCCAACAGTGCTCACTGGAACCTTCAGAAGTTTAGACATTCTTCTGTAACCGATGCCATCATTATGCTTTGCAACAATAAGGTTGTGAAAGTCTTGAGAGAGCTCTTTACTTTTACCCATCATCAGATGGTTCTTGTGTGATACCTGGCCATCATTTGGGACTGAACCAGCTGATATTAACTTGCACTGACAAGGGGCAGGCTTGCTTTCTAATTACTGAGAGAGTTCAGCTGGTGTCTTGGCTTTCCATGCCTTTTTACACCTCCCTTTCTTCATGTGTTCAATACTTTTTCCCTGTGCCATTCCACATCATTACAAATAACTTCATTTCTGGACATTTATGGTTTGATTTCTTTGTATGTATGGATCACTTGGGTTGTTACCGACATCTGGTGAAAATTTCATGTCATTAGCACCTCTAGTAATATATTTACTGAGAAAAATGTTGACGTGTTCAATACTTATTTTACCCGCTGTAGTTGGATTAGCTGACTGTGTCCACTTCTTAAACTGCTTTCTGTTTACATCAACCTTCAGCATCAGTTTTAAACCTTTCCCCTGCATCTTTATCTGGATCTTTTTCTCTCCCAGGTGTAGGTGGTTTATTCTAGAAATGTCCTGCAACATCTGACTTTTTGTTGTGTTTCATTTGCACAAATTAAACACACTGGTAATCCTCTGTCATCAACAGTCAAAGCAAATGAATCTTCCCTCATAGCATTAAATGTTCTGTTTTCTTCTGAATGGTTTCTTTTCTTCAGATTATTCCTGGTGGGTCCACATGGGCTTAAAAAGGTCCATAATTACACTCCAGCTTGTGTTTTGTTGTGTTGCATAAAATAAAATGTTCTTCTCAACTAAAATAAGATAAGTTTATCTTATTATTTATTTTTAAAGTCACAGGCAGTGGAGGAAAGGGTTAAACATCCCTAGTCTATAGAGCAGGACTGGTTCGGGCCTGGTTCAGGACTGGTGCCACACAAACCCTCTGAAGTGCTGCAGACATGTTGAGTCATGAGTTCACAGAAACTGATCACACTGGCTTCATATTTATGAAGACTTGTCTGATGTAAACTGAAAAACATATTGTTTAGATTTGTGTGTGACAGAACTTGCTGTTTGTGTGTTTGTGTGTGTTTGTGTGTAGTGTCAAACAGAGAAGACAAGGATCCAGAGATGCAGCCCTGGTTCTTCTGCAGACGTCCACTGCAGCTCTGCCAAACACAGGTTCTCTGATCAGGTGGGTCAGTTTTCACTCTACACACTGTGCTGCAGTCGGTCCTCAGGTTGGTTCAGTTTGTTCTGTGTTTGTGTTTGTGTGTTTGATCAGTCTGAGCTCTCACTGTGTGTTTAGTCTTGTTGGGAGGCAGTCGGCTTCTGTTCATGTTCACAGATTCAACTTTCTATCAAAGACCAGCTTCTTCTGCTTCTAGTCATTCAGATTCGACTCATATTCAGATTTACCTTTTTACTGTACATTATTTCATGTATGTCACATTTAGTGTGCAAATGGGAGTGTGTCTTCTACAGGGAAGAAAAAAACCTCATTTCTTGTTTATAGTGTAAAGTTTTAGTGACACATGTAAGTCTGAAAATAAACTTGTTTTCATTCTTTCATTATACTGAGTTAAACTAGAGATGTCCTGATGAAGATTTTGATCCTGTCCAATGATTCTGCTCATTAAAGAATGTGGATCAGCCCATACTGAGTCTAAATCACATACTTGATTTGTTTTTCAGTTTATAGCACAAACCAGCAAAATACTAACTTTTACATACATTAGAGTTTTTAAAATTAGTTGTATTAAATAAAATTAGTTCATTTTTCCCTTTTAAATTGTTTTATTATTACTATTATTTATTTCCTAAGTAAAGAAAATCATCAGATGGTGAACCTTTCTGCTCCATGTTGTGGGTCATGTTGGGCAGGACGGTGGCTCCAGCAGCTCCTAAATGCAACAAAAATCCAACTTCACCAGTACAGTGACTGGTCTGATCTGGACTTGTTTGTTTTTGAAATAAAAACAAGATGAAGAGGCGATGGAACTGTGAGGAGCCTCAGCTCATGCAGGGTGTTGTTTTGACACTTAGCTTTAGCCTTAGCTTACAGTGTGGCAGCTAGCTGTGTTACTGAGCTGTTTGACACTGATCTGTGAGAAACGCTTTGATTAACTTCCTGATGCAATATTTGAAACTGAATCAGGACATGAGTCATCTGAACACATGTACTGTCAGTCAGCACTCGCAATGGGGTGGGGCTGTGATGCTGTTTACTTGGCATCTGAAAATACATTTCCTCAAAGGTATTTTTAATCTGAAAATAGCTTCTGAGTGAGAACTAATGTTGAGAGCTCAGCAG